TACTGTGTTACTCATTCAAATACTACCTGTGAAATGAGTGTGCAATTTTTTGTGCTGTTTATTTTACCAGCCTGTTGGCTGACAGGACTCTTGACTTTAATGCCTGATTTAAAGTTTGTTATATGGAGCTTGATGGGTTTCTCTGCCTATATATAATAGACATGCTTTTAAAACTGCATATAGTTCCAGGGGGGAGGATGAAGTTATAATCTAGACTCTTTCATCATCAAGATGTGTGTTGGAAGCTTAGCAGTTGTGTATAACTCAGTGTCTATTGAAAATGCTTTACAAAAGCTTTCATAACTAAAAGATTAAAAAATAATACCAAGCAGGGAAGAGAGAACAGCTTTAATTACATTTGAGTTGAGTGATCTCATCAGAGTACCAGCTAAGCCTGAGACATCTGTATTACAAAGAATGAATAGCTTCATCTAGGTAAGACTGGATTAGATAGCCAGTTTATAGAATTTAATAGTTAAATCATATCTTCCAGGTAGTGTAATTTCATGGTACACCACTTAATACAGTTTAATCCATTCATAAGCATTTAATAGATGTACAACAACTATGTTGTAATAGTTGTACATACAACTATGTATGTAATAGTTATTCTTGACTTGTTCATAATCATATTTCTTCTACATTTCAGTTTTACAGGTACAAGTACAGTGGGAAAAAGAAGCATGAGTCCTATTCAGGAAGAAACTAGTTCTGATGATATGGAAGAGGGAGAAGGCCAAGATCCAGAATATGATCAGACAGACTCATGTGCAGAGTCACCCCCGGATGGTAAAAAGAAAGCCAAAAAATTCAAAAAGATCAAGACAGGACAAGTTCCAGCAGGTAAGAGCAATGTTCATGTGCATGTTTATCTCTTCTATTTGGAGCTACTCTAGGCCTGAGAAGAATTGAAGTTGTCTTCTTGGAAGTCTTAACTTATTGCAGCCCCACCTGAGACTGGCCAAAGGAAGCAGGACGTAGTTGATTTCTTAATTGCTTGCTTACTTAAATAAAGCTCGTTGAATATTTTTAGATATTCTTAATATCTTTTTTTTTATGTGACCTTCTACTTACGGTTACCCAATATGTCTTGCATATGATAAGCAAAATGGAAGGAATTCTGGAAGTAGGATTCTAGAATAGATTTCCCTGTTAATCCAATACTTCATCACAAAACGTAAGCTTAACTTAATGTGGACGTTTTCCTTTAAGCTTGATCAGATAGAGTTATTGCGTATTTGAATGATCATAGCTTACTCTGCCAAATGTGTGTCATTAGACTACCTCTGTTGCTTGCAAATAAGTCCAGTTTTAATAAACCTGCCTGCTGTTCTGAAAGCTAATATATGTGCCCTTTTAATTCAGACTTTAAGACCATATATCCTGATAATATCACACTAATTTCCCTTGTTTATGGTTATTTGTGAGACAGGGTATTTCTGTATGTTGAGAAAACATACAGTCTGTTCAGAATATTATTTGCCTCTACAATTAAGCCAAAACTTGACAGTCTACCTGCCTGCCCCTCACGACTTCTTTGGCACACCTCTTGCAACAGGCTGTTTCAGGTTGAGTGCAGTTTGACCCAGTTGCTGTTTTATATCCCCTAGTATAAATAACCATGCTGCAACTATTCTGAAACCCTTTCCTCTCTGGAACATTTCCTGAGAATGTGTGCACTCTGAGACAACTCAATGAAGGAATAAGCTGCCAGACTGGTGCTGATATACGGGGCTCTTAAACTTACACAGGCCCGTTAGCTTTCTGGGTGCTTTGCATTTATGAATCACTTGGCTTTGTGGGGGTTTTTTCTGGTAACAGTTGGCAAGATGCTGATGAAGAGTGAGTGTGTTTAAAATTTCTTACAGACATTTTGGACAGGTGGTCATAGTCATTCTTAACATTTCTTGCAGTCTACCTCATGCTCTGAGTATGCCTTTGCTTATTTGAAGGGCTTGCTGGACTGTGAGCAAATCATTCACATTTCATGGGCTGCTAGAGGAGCTCACTTTCAGGAGATGGAGATTTTGAAAAGTAATAGTATTGTTTTTCTTGTAAAAGTGTCAAATTGTGAATTTGTCCAGGTGATAAAATTTTTTTTCTTTCTTCCATTTTATACATTTTTGTTTTCATTAATCTGATATAGAACTCACAGTGTAATTCTTGAATAATAAATAGTGTTTCTAATAGAAATGATAAACCCATATAATCTTTTCTTTCTTCTAAAAACTGATGTATACATTAGTATATGCAATGTTCTGTGTGGTGTTTGTAATCATATCCTTTAGTGTTCTTTATTTGGTTGAAGAATTTTCACCTAGGGTTGATATTGCAGTGTTTAATACCTATATCATCTTTTTAATTTTTTTAGCAAAAGTACTTTGTACTGTTATGTCTGACTGAACAAAGGCAGGTGACAGTCAGATGACTGGCTCACCTGATAGTTTTGATACCTTGTGTAGGTTACTGCAGCCTGTACAAAACCAAAGTAATTAAATAACCTTAGGTCACATGAATTTAAACATGAAAAGATTTTCTTTTCATTGATATATTGTTGATTCTATTTCAACCTCTGTAATTTCTTGCAGAAATTAGACTAGTAAAAAAAAATCATATCTTAATTATTGGTCATGTGGAGCACTGGCTGTGTTGAAGTATATTCAAATATTTAGTTAAAACTTTATTTCAATAGCTACTCTAGTCATTTTTATCCAGAAAGTGGTACTGTATACCAGGCATCATTTCTTCTGATTCGGGGGAGTAAAATCTTTCTCAGCCAATTCATAAGCTGTGGTTGGAAATCACTCTCTTTTTGTAATTCAGTAGGGCAATTGGGCCATGCGAACATATGCAAAATGACAAGACTGTCTGCTGTAGTTCCAGGTATTAAAATCTGTGCTATGTATTTGGAATTATGGAAATATATATTATCCCTGCTCATCTTTCTTCTCCAGTTAATGTGGACAGGAAATATTCTTCACTGTATTAACTTCCTTAAACAAGAATGGATTCAAGTACACTTGGGAAAATAGTATTATTTAACTTTATTATCTCAGTTATTGCAAAACCAAAATTACTTGGATTAAAAATTCATTAATTGCAAAATACAGTATTTACCATTTGGGTAAGGAACTTGCCATTAACTTTTTTTTAAAGTACCTACTCATACAGTCTCTTGGTTTCCCTTTGTAAATATTGACTTGCCAGTAATGTATCTAGAGCCTTGCTCTAGAGGAGAAAATGTCTTTGTATGCTCTGACAGAAAAAAAAAATACTCTTGGTTTGATTTTTATTCCTCTCAGTGTTTGTATATTGAAGTCTTTAATACATTGTTCTGTGACTCTGTCTTTTAGGAAGCCTCACAACTAGTTCCACTGGAATTTTTGAAGTCCCTGAAACATGGTAGGAAACAACTGCCTTAACAAGTGGAATTGATTGAAAGCAGTTGCAAGAATACACCTCTCGGAAGCCATACTTTATTTAAATAAAGGATGTTAACAAAGCAGTATGTGTCCTGAAAATCAGTTTAATTATTTTAAACTGTTTACTGAACAATCGCTGTCAATTTTACCTGTGTGTATATTAACTAGTATATGACTCGTTGTTGATCATGTGAAATCCTTGCTGTCGTAAATGTTAGGTTTAAGAAGCAAGACTAAATGTATTTTGGTCACCTACTTTGGCATGTTAGCTATAAAATGCACAAAAAGTACTGGCACACTATAATTTTGTGCTAGGCTGTTTCCTGTGCTTGAGGTGATTTGTTAACCACAAATCTCCTCATCATTGGCTATTCTTAAGGCAATATCAGTATGCTATCAGCTTTCCTGAAACAGGTAGAACTGCAGTTTCACATACTGCTTTCTACCAGTTACTTTATCTGGAAATCTTGTTGTGTTTTCCATTCTGTACCCCCTGTGCAGTAGTACTCATCTTAATACCAGCTTTGCCACATACCTTATCCTTTCAAAAACCTGAAACTTCCAAGTTTATCAAACATCGATTTCCTCGATCAATGGAATTAATGTTTCTTCCTTCCTTCTTCCCCAGCTTGTGGGGTTTTTGTAAAAATATTTTTTTGGTACCTGTGACAAACCTGCTAACTGCACCAGGCCTTTATTTGTTTAAAAAAAGGATCTGCATTGGTAGATTTAAGAAAATGTTTGATATTTAACATTTTTGTATCAAGGAAATAAAAACAAAAGATGTATTTCCATAAAATGAAAAAATTAAAGACATTTTCTTAGGAACTGTTTTGGTTTTATTTATTTATGAAATATTTTAAGTGAACTCTTTTTTTTTTTTTTCCTATGTAATATAACTGGTTTTTTGTCAGCCTGTCGTTAGCTTTTTTTTCCATGGATGACTTTCAAGATATTTGTGAAGTGTAACCAAGAAAAGCAAGCCTGTTGTCTTAAGATTTAAATCACTATACAGTTCCCTTAGAAGAGGGGAAAAAAAAAGAAGCCAATTCTACAAATCAGCAAGATCAAAACCATTGCTTTGGAAAAGTGGAATATTAAGAAGTCTTCATCAGGTTGTATTTACAGTAGAATGGGAACCACTGTCATTTGAGCAATGCAATAACCTGTTTGAAGGTATGCCAAAATTTGTGGGGTTTTAAATGATTTTGAGAGCTGTCTTGAACTTTCATTGCAAAGGGAAAGATAATTTAAAGACATTAAACATGAAATGTATTATTTCTAACCTTGGAATACTACCAGAAGTAGTATAATTAAGTTTGTTTGGTTGGGTTTTTTTTAATAATAGCCATATCATCACATTCTCACACTAAAATGTGGGAAAGAAGAGAGTGTTACTAGTGATGCAAGGGGAAATTAGTTACTGAACTCTTCTGCTGCCAAGGATCCAGAGACTTTTCTTCTCTGGGACTCATGACCTTATGAGTAAATATTTAAATCACTTTTATTTTGAGTATCCAAACCTACAAAGAAACTGCAGATTTAGTTCTCAGAATAAATGCAACACTTAAAGAGAAGTTGTACAAAATACTCGTTTCTTATGGAGCCAATCCAGGTAATTTACACAGTGTCCTATCCAAATGTTGACAGGGGTGTTATTAACTATGTATCCAAAAGAACTGGCATAACTTGATTTGTGAGGGAGTCTAAACGATACAAAAAGCATTTAAAAGGATTGTCAGAAGTATAGGTTAAAGGGTGAGGAAGTTGCTGCTCAAGAGATACAGAGGCCCTCTCTGTCATAGAGAATCCACCTGGAGTCTTTACCCTGAGGCCATTAGGATCTTCATGGTACTGACTTCAGTCTTGAACAACACTTACATGCCTGCAGAGAAAATAGGTATATTAATTTCACTGCAATACAATCCCATACAAACCTGTTTTTTCAGAGTAGGCCATGCATATCATTCTCTGAACTACAAAGGTCAGTCGATACTGCCATTATTTCTACCCCCTTCCCCTCCCGAATTGTCATTTTCAGGAGCAGGATGTTATTTACCTGTAATTAAAACATCTTAAGAAACTAGTGCTCTTCCATTTTGTAGTCCTTATGTGTTTGATTTTACCAGTTAGCACCTCAGTAAGGTACTAAAATATGACCAGATGTGAGTTACAATGTTTCTAATACTATGTTTGGGTGGAGAGCTGTCAGGGCCCAGTGATGGGGACAGGACACAGTGGTGTGCTAGGAAGGAACTGGCCCCATTCATACCACATCAAACCTGCTTATTCTGTGGTGTTTGGTGCACTTCCCTTTGTTCTAGATGGAATCATTAATTCTAGAAGGGGAAAGAATGTAGCTTCTTAAATTAGATCCACATTTGTTTCCTAATGTATGTTTAAAATATGTGCATAGAATTTAGCTCTTTACAGCGTTTGTTTCTGGAAAACAAAGCTGTCATCATTCGTCTTCATGGCTGTGGAGTTTCCTGGGTCATGGTCTCTGCGGGTTTCATGTACTATTACTTGATTCCAGAGGTACGGTGAGGCATGTCTGGCTCCTTTGCTGTGGAGGTGGGAAGTTGCTGAGAGGCTGTTTTGGCCTGGTAAAAAGTCAGATGCATTTGTGTAATACTTTGATTGAATTACTTTTTTTAATTACTTTCTTCATTCCTGTTTGCCCCTGAGAGCGGGGGGTACATGGATCTGTTCCATTATAGATTTATTTTGCTTTCCACTTGCGGTAGCAGTGATGGCTACACCTAGATCAGTGTCCTGCAGAGCTGCATCTGGTCAGGGCCAAACCAGCTCAGGCAGCAGGACCTGCACCCGCCCTTTAGCCTTTCTCTGGTGGGCAGTGCTGAATGGCCTCCCCACTTCCCGCAGCACTGGCCAGGAGATGAGCTGGGCTAGACTGAGGTGGAGACTGTGAGGAGCCAGGGCAGGGGGGGCCGTGTGGGGCAGGGGCTGCAGCCACCTGGGGGTTGATCAGCACAGTGTATTGTAAGTTGGTGGTAGACAAATAATATGGAGAAAAAGATAATTATGTAATGTAAAGGGAAGAGCATGAGTGGCCCTGTAGCATGGATTTGAACAGGGACAGGTAAGAGAAATATAGACTAAGGGAGAATGAACTATCCCATATAAAATTAAGATTGCTTGGAGTGCAACAGTCTATTCTTGGTATCAGGGTTGAGCTTATGGTTTGGAGCAAAAAGCTAAAGGCTTCAGGTGATTTAGCTGGAAGACTAAATTCAACTATACATCCAGCTGAGAAACCAAGAGGTAGAAAGCTAAAACCTGTGATGGTTCTGGGGAAGAGTAAATGTTACAACTCTTTCTTTCTTTAAACTGTTGAGTTCTGTCATGGTGCCCAGAAAATGTCTGGTACTCTGGATGTGTTCTCTATCTTTAAATCATGGTAAACGTAACACAGACAAAAATGTCCTCTGCAGTTGAGCTTCGGATCATACACAAGAAGACTCCTGATAGTCAAAAGTTCTTGGCTTCTGAAGTGTTGAGACTTGCCAGCTGACCAGATGTGTACATTGAAGAAGATTCCTCAAGTCACTCCACAGTACATTCAGTAAATGAATAAACACTTGTCTATATTGCACTTTTGTAACTTTAAACTTACACTGAACTAACCTTCCCTGTGTGCTTTACAGAGATGAAGAGCAATAGCTGGTGGGTTAGGCTGGGATTTATAGGGTCAATATACTCATAATTAAGATACTCTTTTTGCTTTAATAGATATGCAGGAAGCTTCTTTAAAAAGTATTCTTTTCTCCAGCAAAGCAGTTATTGTCAGCCATGTGCTTCCATGAGCACTGTGACAGAACATGGGTTGGTCCCAGCTCATGAGGAGTTCATGGAGTTCATCTGTTCGTAAATGGAATAGAGAAAACATTCAGCCAAACTGTATAGATTTCCCTGCCTTTATGTTGGTTTCTTAAAAATGACTGATAGTGTATTTGTGCATGAGCAGTCTGTAGTCTGCAAGTTCTTGAAAACAATTTTCCGGTTTATTGCCAGAGTGACCCTATATGATGTGATTGACGTTAGTAGGCAGTTGAACATGAAAATCTGGAGGTTTTGGCCATGCCAAGCCAGCTGCATCCTAATTGGTGATCTGTTTACAACCTATCAGTGAGTGAAACTATGTTCGTGTTAAAGTTGATTGCCTCAGAATCGGCCCTTGAAGTTGCAGTTCCTTATACAAGCCTCAAAAAAAAAAAAAATTAAATTGCACTGTTAAAGTTCTAAGAAGAACTATTTTGTTCAATTTGAGAGACACTGTGAATAATTTTATCTTGGTAATGAGTGTAAATGTTCATATGTATGCACATATATATATACTTTACCTTGAATGTCTTTTTTAAATGTGATTTCAAACTTAGAATGCTCAGAGAAGACTGAACATGTTTAGTTCATGTCTATACTCAGTTACGTTGTTTTTTTTTTGTTGTTGGAAGTTAGATGTCTTCATTGTATGCTGCTTCTTACCCTTCAAAAATAAGCCTGCTCTGAGCATGTACAGTGTGCACGTCTGAGTCTGCCACTTAGATTTGTTTTGTGGTAGGGGAAGTTGCTTGCCACACTCACAATAAATAACTGATATATATTTGCTAACAATTCCACAATAATTTAAAATTGGCCCACTTCAACCTCCCATTTTAATTATCTCATGTTGGGTTTAATTTCAGTTATAATGTTCTGTTGAAAAATGACTAGTGATCAATAGAGATTTTTTACTACAGTAGTGTAGAACTGCTGAAAGTGGAAACAATAGTTCAGTTGTGTGGTCCTATGATGAGTGTATTGTTTTCAACTAATAATGCAGTGTTACAAAGAGGTGATTTGCCAGAGAACTTCACTTTGATGTTACTGGAGTCCCTTGCATGTAGACTAATAACCCTTTCTGCTAGATTGTACCATACTAGCCTGGGTTTTTAAAGCGATTGTTACTAAAACAGATTAAGGAATGTTTATGGTAGTACTAAATGATTAGTCTGTGAAGAAGTTAATTGGAAGTGTTTGTATTGGTAAATTTTAGGGAGTAAATGCTTTAGGTGTTGAATATTCCGTTCTCCTAAAACAGATAACTATTTTAAGTACTTCAATTAGGACACTGCCAGGTTTCCTAATTGAAGTAAATTCTTCAGAGGGTGTAACTCTTAAGGTGTTCTCAAGTGTTTATAACATCTTACTAATAATTTCTTACATTAGGAATCATTTGCAATTATGCATGGTGACCCATTCTTTTAGTTTCAATTCTATTCAAAAACAGGAATTTGATACCTAATTGACCATTTTATGGCCAACATGAAATCTGGGGTAAGTGCTTAGTAGGTTGAACAAAATAACCTTTTCTTCCTGTTAATCATCTCCTCGCATGTCAGCAAAACCATCCTGTCAAGAAGTTTCTTGATGCTTGTCTGCAAGCCTCCCACTCTAGCCAACCAGCCTATGCTGATGTGGTGTATGTGTTGTACATTAGATACAAAACACCAAATGTTGTTACCATGTTCCCATTCAAAGGCCTTCATCGTACAAATGTATTAAGCTATAAACTATGTGTATATGTAAACATAGCCCAGTTGTTAAAAAACAAAGCATACAGAAATGAACACTGCATTTACAGACAATGAAGTGTAAAGTAATGAACACTGCATTTACAGACTGTTAGTAGAATAAGTGTCTGATAAAAGGTGAGCCTGAATTAAAATCAGGATTCACTGGCAGAATCACTTATTTAGTACCCTTTAGTGGTTTTATGCTTTGCTTTTTTTTTGGGGGGGGGGAGGAAAGAGAAGAATTAAACTAAATATGAAACAGTATTTTAGACTGACAGTTTTAACAATACTTACTTTCCTTACAACTACCCTGAAAAACATTTTTAAGCACTGGTGATGACAGTGGTAATATGCTGATTGCTCATACTGAAAATCTAAATTTGATTTAGTTTATCTTAAAACCTTAAATAGCACCTATGCAAACTTTAAGAAACTGAGTTTATAAAAGATTGAAAAATAGAATGATGCTCAATTTTAACACATTTCCATACTAGTACTACTCTAAAGTTAGCAAGGTGGAGCTATTTTTTCACTTTAGAAGGAATCTGTAAAAGAGATGCTTCTAAAATTACTACTCTAATATATAAAATAAGTCAGTAATAGTAGAAAGTAGTACCTTTCTGAGGAAAGTGTACTTTTTCTCATGAAAAAAAAAAAAAGGATGCAGTGTTATGAGAAGATTTTCAGTTATAGTCTGCTAATTTTCAAAGACTTGATGAGTGCACAAATACAGGTCTTTGTTTTTAGGAGAGATGTTATCGGTTTCTTTTTGTGTGTATGATACTTAATCTGAGGGTATGTATGTTATGAGCAAGAGCTAGATGTTTTTTACAGATGTGTTCCAGTATCTTAAAAAGCAGATTTTCTTCTTCTGTCTTGGCAAAACATGTGCTCAGACCAATGTAGAAGATTTTCTATCAGTGTAGATGTTTTCTTATTTTAAATAAGGAATTTGCTGAGTTCTGTATTTGCTTTTTTTGTTTTGCTTATACAGGAGCTCAGGTGAGACAGAATTGTGCTATGTTCTGAATTCCAGTTTCTTTAATAAAGGCAGTTCCCTTCTTTCCTACCCATGCATACTTCAACGCTTTCAGTTGAGGCACAGTAAATTTAACTGTGGCTACCACATTCTCATTTATTTCTATTTACTAAAATACTTATTTAGTGTTAAATAAATCAAACACTTTTTTGTTCCTTAAATACTTTCCTGAAAAACTAACACACATAAACACAGCTGTACTGTTGCATTCAGAACTCTTTGAAAAATGTTTTATGTTTCCACTACAAACAGTTTTTAGTTATGTGCATA